GGCCACATTTTAGCTAACTTGGCTTTATTAAATGCAATCAAAACTAACATTAAAACATATAGAAGGCTACTAAAATTTTCCTCTCACAACAGCAACACAATAACTACATCAGAATCACACACAACCAAATGCACTTTTAGAAAGAAATAAACTAACTTTATGTGAGATATTACAAAGAGCCTGCTGTTTTACCATGTTGGCTTTACCTCCTACAGAATTTGGTTACATTGTGTATAATAATTGAGTATCTGTCTGATAGTAGAAGGAAGACTTAAAAGTTCTTTGGATGAGCTGGAAGTTTGGTTTAAAGGGCTTAAATAAGTCTGCTTTGCGTGTCATAAGAAGATATACAACTGCATCTGATCCACATGAACATGTTAGTTAGTAAGGAATCTTATGAAACTGGTTTTCCAGCAAGATGGATAATAGTCCATCAAAGTAGGCTCAGAAGAAGGCTCTGTGCTGCCCAGGCAATTCCAAGATAGCACACTGGCTACTGGAAACTAGATTTAAATTCTTTTGCATTTCTACATCCAGAATGCTGTTTTAGAATCCTTCCCCCTTGTTCACACTGCATTGATAAAAAGAGCTCTGAGGAAAGACTATATTAGGCCTGCAAAGCTCTGGATGTGCTTTAGAGTGCACAGGGCTCTCCCATAGTACTTGTCAGCCACTCTTTGAAGAAGCTCCATCTTTTCTCATTTTTTTTTATAGTTGCAGCACAATTTTGGAAAAAAGTGCAGTTTGGTGTAAGGGGTTGTTGAAGGGTGCTAATATGTATGCTGAGCTCTGAAGCACTTTTTATTTTCCTGAAAATTCAAAGTCTATGTAAGCCCTAATAATGATCAAGGATTGTTAAGGGAGCCAAACCCACAAGGCAAAAAATTAGCTTTAACTAAAAAGTGAAGATCACTAATCAAACTCCACCCTATGGAGCTCAGATTCCTGAGACAATGCTACTTTTGGCACACGTAGAGAACTACAGCATTTCTCTCAAGAAATTAGACTATACTGATTTTAGAAAGATGGAGCTAGAATATGGGCCAAATGTCATTTTATAGAGGAATGATGTCAAAGACTTGCCAGAGGCCTCCTTTGTGAAAACTCCCAATTTATGCCTGTCCTTTCTTCCTTATCTTTTCATCATTTTTAAAATATTTGAAGAAAATTTCTTTAGCTGGTTCACTGGCAAAAATAAAATACCATAATATATGACCAATTCTTCTTTTTTAAAAATAGGAAATATCATTTTGGGAAGAGATAATTAGTTAACAAAAAACATTATAATCTTTATTCCCATTCTTTTGTCCTGTTAACTTTTCCTACATATTTTTAAAAGGATATTGTGCAAGTTACATATTTATATTTGTAACATGTACTCTAGCAAAGCATGTAAAATAGCCATAATTCAAGTACCTGTAACTCAAGTTCTTCAAGTAGCGATCACCAAGAATTCAGCCAGCCCATCTGCGTGCCCCATTTGGTGTCAAGGTTCCTTTTCAGGGATCTGCTGCATCAGAAACTGAGAGTTTAGTGAGAGCATGCCAGTTATGTCTGATAATTTGCAGAGGCCAGGACTCCCACCAGAAGAGTTATTTTAAGGTTGAGAATGCCCCAAGTGGCGCTCTGTGCAAGCTTCAAAACCTGTCTTGACTCAGAGACCAAAGGAGAAACTTCAGCTGGAGAAATATCTATTGGCCTTGGGATCTCTTTTTCTCTGGATATCAAGATGTATACACTAAATAAAATACAGGTAGTCCCCAGTTTAAGAACGAGTTCTATTTCCAAGGTCTGTCCTTAAGTTGACCTTGTTTGTAAGCTGGAACAATATTATACAATACTAGTATAAGTAGTATTGTGTAATGAACTTGAACCATTGTGTATTTAAGTTGAATCATTGTGTATTTAACTCGAATTTTGCTACAATAGGCTCCATTTTTAACTATGAGTGTCCTTAAATTAGGTGTTCTTAACCCAGGGATTACCTTTATCACAATATAGTATATGACTCTAAACTTCTTGGCACATTTATTTTAAAAAGCACACAGAAATGGCAGGCAAAATGTTTTTTTCTTTCTGACAGTCTTTTCTGAAAATCTGTGGATAAGCAGCTTTCCTAAATAAAGGGAGATCAGAGGTGAAAAAGGATAGGAAAGTTAGCCCTGGCTGTCCTTACAATGTCTACATTTTGGCATCTCACTTGCATTTATTTACGGTCTAATTACTTATCAAGACAATCAGGTCAGAAAAAGAAGGTAGAAAAGTATTTGAAAATGGTGGAAGTTTGTAAATCTATTTTCAAAATCAGTGAAGACTATCCAAATCACTTTCTTTCACAAGCAAGCCAGTTTTCATTTTAGAAAAATAATTTTAATCTGCATTAATTTTAATGAAGATTTAAGGCAAAGTGACACAAAATTGCATCCTTAAAGATTTGCTCTAGAACTCTTTGTCTAAGATTATTCTGAGCTATTTTACAAAGGAAGAGATTATAAGGCATGCCTGTATATTCAACTTTTACTGCACCCTGAGAAACTATGTAGCAGTTCTACAATCTGCAGCAGTTCTGCAGTCTTTTATATGAAATCATATGGTATATCTTACTTTGTAAATTGTCCTAATAAAAAGAAGAGATGGATCTTATGACAAATATTCATGATATAATAACCAGCCATTCGGTTTGAATTATTTTAAGACTTTTTTGTTAATGTTTTTGAAGGGTCAGACTCCAGCACCCATCAAAATGAAATCAGTGTTCAGGTTCCCATTGAGTCAGAGCTGGGCAAGAAGTTCTCTTCAGAAGCACCCTGGACAGACTCTGCTAGCCAAGATGCCGGTGAAGGAGAATCACCTGTGATCCAATCAGACGAGGAAGATGTGCAAGTGGACACTGCTCTTGTGAATACAGAAATGAAGAGCCCTTCTGATATTAGCGATGAAAGTGATTAACAAACAGATTCAGTCTTATCACAGCGCTCTATAGGAATTAAGTCTGGAGTGAATGAGGAAAGAAATGATTGGCAGAGCTTGTGTGTTGTTTTATCTTCAGAGAGATAACTGTATGCAGTCATGTAAAATACCTGTTTTTATATTAAAAACATTCTGAAAGCACATCCATTAAGCAATAAACTCTTGCCTTTGGAACAAGATACCTTCCATGTTGATGCTTACCCAAAAGGACAAATTATGAATGGGGTTATTTTAAAATCCTCAGTAGAAATGTAATACAGAAACCATTTTAATCCTTTGTGGTAACTTAGTATATTTTTGTTTCTAAAAGACTGAACTGAATATCAAAAAAATGGCTGTTTATCAAGCAATGGAGAATAGGCTAGCATTCAAAAGAAGAGAGATTGATTAGATATTTACATTAAAGCAATAGAAAGGTAAAAGTCCCTGGGTATGCTGTATCTCTATAAAAATGATCATAGTGGATGCATTTAGAGTACCGTATTTATCGGCATATAACATGCACTTTTCCCCCTAAAATGTGGGGCTGAAATCCTAGTTGTGTGTTAAACGCCGATGTATAAACCCCTGTATAAGCCCTGCGGCTTCTCACCTCAAGCGGCAGGGCTGGGAGAGTGGAGCCTTCGAGTCATAGCTGTAACCGGGGCTGCAATCACACGCTTCCCACCACCTCCTCCGACTGATTATGGCACTTAAATCATGCCCCATTTGCAGTCTTTTGTAACATCACCTGCGCGGACACATACTGGAGGGTCCTGAATGGAGAGCATTTCCATGTTCTTTTTGTTGTTCTGATTATAACTTCTTACACTTTATACCACTATAAAGTATTTCACTAGATAAATCACAGGATATAGCTTGCATGTTGAATTTACTGTGGAAAGGTAGTTAAAGACTGTAATGCTCAAAGAATAGTAGAACTCATATACAGTCAGGACCAGAAATATTGGAACAAGGTGCCTGCGCTTTGACTCATTACTACACGCCGGACCGCGCGGGTGATATCACTAAAGTACCGTGAGATTCCCTCCTCTCTTTGCAGAGGTCCGGCGTGTAGTAATGAGTCAGAGCGAAGACCGCGCAGGTGATGTTACTAAAGACTGCAAACAGAAGAGGCATACCCTAATAATAAATTACTGTACCCCCCAATCCACTTTATTTTGCTTCCAAGTCATTTATTTTAAATTTAAGTTTTTTTACTTAAACTTCCTTCCTAAAAATTAAGGTGCGTGTTATACGCCGATAAATACGGTACTGGCTATTCTAAGTAGGTACAGCTGAAAAAAATTGGAACAGGTGTTTTTTTTTTTTGTCTTTAATGCAACTGCCTCAGTTGAAGGATGGGTGGCTTTTGGACTTCATGTTGGCCCCCCAACTAAGATTATATCACTGTAACTGAAATTATGTGGCAGCACCATTTCCCAGGGATTCACAGCAGGATGTGAAAAGATACATGCTAAGAATCAGATTAAAAATACAAAGTTTTAAGAAAACCACACTACTGTTCCACACACAATGGCCCTTGCTGGTTGGAAGATGGGGCCGCCTCTCTATTAGAGGTTTGTTGTCTTTCATCCCTCTAGTACAGGAATGAGACCTGTGACCCTCCAGGTTTTGCTGGACCTTGATATTCACCATTACTGGTAGGTGTAGTGATATTGTGAGGACCACAGGTTCTACATTCCCCCTTCTGTAAACTTTTGGAGGATAGATGTTCTAATTTGAAATCATGTCTAAGGTCTTGTCCTATGATTGGACAGATATATTCCCAAACAATTGGTAGTTTTCTACCTTTTCTACTAATTTTAGAAAATATTAATTCAGCTGCTCACAAATACCTAAATACTATTGAATTATTCTGTCTCAAAGGGGTGTGAAAGGAATTGAGGGATAATTCAGCTAAACTGCTTTAGTTCTTCAAAACCCATCTTTTTAGGCTGCAAATTAATTGATTTATTCTGTTGCAGTAATACAGCTCTACAAATGACCTGAAGTACTTTTCCATTAACTACATCTTTTCTAAGCCCATGACAATAATTCTAAATAAGACAGCTAGCTTTAAATCATATTATCTCTACTGCTTTCAGAAGAAAGACAAAGTGTCCAAAAAGTGTGTTTTTATTAAACCTTGTATTACAAACCTGAAAAGTAAACAAAATCTGGCAATAAACATGAAGTCTTTCCTTACAAGGAAAGAGCAGAGCAGCGCTAATAAATTAAATGTCAAACTGTAAGCCATAGTCAGAAGTTTACTGTCAAGAAGGAAAAAGTACACAGCAAGGCCATAAAAACCGGACAACCACATTGGAAACACTCGACTCTGTGTTATTGTTAAATATTCCAAAACAATTCAGTCTTCTGCAACAACCAACAATATGTATTTTATAAGACTTTCCTGACAGTCACTCACCACTGGCAAGCTCAGTGCAATATGGGTAGCTCTACGGTTTTGTTGAATTCAATTATGAAACAAGAGTTTGTGAAAACATTTTCCCTTTTTTATTCCACACATACTGTACACACAACCAGAAAAGGGCAACAACTACTCCATTATTATTTTTGTTGTTGTTCAGTGATGTAAGCAGCACTTATAAATGTTACAAGAAAAACCCTGTAAGCATCCAATCCAACCGATGAAGAAAGTGAAACGTAAGGCTTTTCTTCATCTTGTCTCTTTGCCACCCTTCCCCACCCTCCCAAGAAAAGGCTCAAGTATTTAAAACAATTTACAGGCTTATGTACAAAAGTTATGATACTTTTTTTGTTACAACATGAAAGGAAAAAAAATAGACAAGATGGGAGCAAATGCATTTTCACATTCAAAAGAAATATGCAAACGTGCTAGTGGCTCTAAATGTGATCATATAACAAAACAAAATTAATGCTGACTGTGACAAGGTAAAAACAGCAGTGGAATGAAAATGGAATGTTAAAGATTGCACGTCTATGACAAGAAGCATGGCTTCAATCATTTTTAAAGGATGCTATTGAAGGGTTTTTGATAAAGTAGACAACAGCACCAAAAAAACCACAACAACCCAGAATGGATTTCCTAATGAAATCAGGCACAGTTTTCGCTCACATGCCTCCTCAAAGCAGGCAGTCTTTTTCTTTCATTTCCTCCTCGAACAGATGCATAGTGAAGTGCTGGTAACAGAGAACATTTTCTCCAAATCTCCCATTTGCCTATGATTAGAAAACTAAGTCCATCTTCAGCTGCCATAACCTCTCAAAGAAAAGTGTGTATTCTCCAATTTAAAAAGGTACAAAACTTATCCTGCCTGTTACAGAATACAAGCCAAAAGTATAGCAATTTCTTTCAAGTTTTGCCTTCTATCCCTTTTTTTTCACTATAGAAAAAAAAATCTGCTGACATGATTGGAGAACAAATTATAAAACACACCAAACTTCAACCTATCCAGAAAAATAAAACAAAAAGGGGGATTTAAAAGCCTTTTCACAATTACTAGGGGGGAAAAGGCCTTTTAGTTTTCAGACAGCGGGACAAAAACAAATTTTATCAGTCCCTTGCTGCTATCAAAAAAGTGAGTGTACAGCAGTTAAAAAAAATCCTGCTGTATCGAACTATCCTAAGTATAAAATAAAATAAAAATAAAATTCAACAGTTTAATGCTAAATCAAAATTAGTTCTCTAAAACCAGAAGAAAATCTTCTGTAGAGCTAGTGCAAAGACAGCTTGTAATCTACAGCAATACTCCAAACTATGATATAATTACAAAAAATATATATAAAATTGACCAAAATGAGAGAGAGTGTTGGCATCTTCATGATTAACTTGAAGCACTTTTGGATGAACTGGAGGATGAAAGTCTTGATGATGGCACGTCAAGGGTTGCTCTCTTGCGAGGCCCTCTTTTTGGTGTAGGCTTGCTGATACAGATCTCAATGGTGCCGTTCTTGCCAGATACTTTTCCACAGATTTGATTGACTAAGCTGATGATTTGTTCCTAGTTGAAAGTGAAGAAAAAAGAGTGTTTTGTTTTTTTTAACAACCAACTTCCTATTCCAAATAACATGGCAATAATATGGCAAACTGAGGCCAAGATACAGTGAACAAGGCTTTCCTTAACTGACTTTGGCTAGCTGTAATGTGAAAATATTACTCATGCTAATCTCTGTGTATCACACAGAAGGTTTGGCACCTGAACATTCTCTACTTGAGTTGAGACTGGGGGAGCCCCACCCTATCCCATTTAAAATGTTGGCCTGCCAATGTTCATCTCTTTTATGACCATGCAGCGTTCTCTGAGTTCACTCGAGCCCTGCTGAGTGCATTTATGACTTCCATTTTAAGTCTTGAGATTCTAAAAGCAACAGAAAACCCTCTCTACAAATTGCTTTCTTATAATTAAAATGCTTTTAACTCTCCTTTGTGAACCATTATTTTTAGTTTAGTGAGGCCTATGGCCTTATTTTCCTAAAAATGCTCCATTATGAGTACAAGAGCTTCTCTACTAATGTATCCTCTAAGGACTTATTTTGTTGTGGCAAGAGACATCCGCTGGATTTGTATATCCGTTGTTAAAACCTTACACTGCACAGATGCCAGAACAGATCCTTTTGCCTTCATGTTTCCATTTGGGAACAGGCTCTTAAAGCAGTGATCACAAAGTCCAGAAAGTTCCTCTCTGGTCTGAGTGATGCTTGTATGCCCTTAACAGCAGTTAGGCCTAAAGCAGCGATCAGTGTCAAGGCAGCCAAAACTGAAGTCTCAGCTCTTAAGCTTTCCAGCTACAAATATTTAAAGCAGCCCCTCAAAGCCACAACCTCAGCTTTAACTGTCAGTATCAGTGTCCAAGAAATTCAAATAAAGGCCCAGCTAGGAGGATCATAAGCTCTTTAAGAAAAAGCTTCATATACTAGACTTGCATCCTCTAATCTGGAGCCCCAGCCGTCAGTCCTGACTATCATCCAGTAGTTGTGTCTGGGAATGAGAATGCTAGTGCCATGACATGACATCAGAATTACACAGTTCTCTCTCTGAGGATGTAAGGACTTGCACGGAACAATTTTCCCAAATGCCTTGTGATTACACAACCTCCTCCTGTCAGTGACCTGATACTTTGGCAACCATCACCATTCCTCTTGTGTGTGTAAGCTGATAGCTTAATTTCTAGTTCAAACACCTTAAAGTTCCTGGTATTCCACATGCGCCCTG